CAAACAAAAGTTTGAATTATATAAAAACATCTTAGAGAGCAAATATTTTAGGATTAATAGAATAAGAGTGAATATACGCACTACAAGTTTAATCAGCATGTGAAGAGAGAAGTTGAGGTGAGACTAGACGTGATTGCGGTGCTAAAATGCTAACAATTTAATATTTATATATGGGTATTGTGAACCATCCCGACTTAGTAAGGAATTATGAGCCAGAAGTGTGGAACGAGGCTGATCCACTTGGGACTATTGGGCTTGGAGCTAAAGGCCCAATGATGAAACAACCGAATAGAATGCTAGGGCATTATATTTGGGATCCCAGGGGGAGATACAGGGATGTGTACTGTTGAGTGAAATGTCTGCTCTTCATCGTCCTTCTGAGTGTCTATATCCTCTCATACCCATTCATAGTATGAGTTTCTCATCCCTTCTTCTCTATTCCTTGTATTTTAGTTTAGTATCTCTAATTCCTCGAATAATTTGAGTTGAGCTGTAATTTACTGTCACTTTTGAAGTAATAGAAGTGTTGAAAAATCGGTTTTTTATATTAGTGCTTTCATCCAGAGGTCTTCAATGGAGGACCAAATATTTTGAACTATCGATGATCCAATTAAGGTGGTGAAGGATTTGTGGTCGAAGGATATCGCTGAAATTCGTTCATTGTTACATGAGTTGGTTGAAAACTTTGCAACGAGTAAACCTACTTTGGTGGAATTTCGACGATTCAGTGGTGAGGATTCAGAGTTATGGATTTCTCGGGCTGAACGTTACTTTGAATTCTACGGTACATCAAAAAATAACAAATTATTATGCGCGTTTATTTACCTAGATGAGAAGGTGTTTGAGTGGTTTCGATGGCTTCTCCGGAACAAACAATTGACGGATTAGGAACACTTTGCTGCAAAGGTGCGAATTCATTTTTGTAAACAACATCTCGAACCGCCGGAAGGTCACATGGCTACAAGAAAGGAATATTCTACCGAAATCGAAGCCCAAGTGTTCGACAATATATCATATGGCTGTTGTTGTTCCAAGGTGTTTGCTATTGAGCGATCAAATGTTGAAGTCTTTACTGATACAACGAAATCTGCTTTAAACAATGCAAAATCAAAGGAGGTATAGGTATTTGATGAAGGCTCTCACATAAATGGCAACACGCACCAGTCTCACTCTGAGACCTTGCAAACTGAGTATACTACTGAGATTCTAGTCAATCAGATTGGTACTCCTTCAATCTCTGCTCCCATTAATTCCTTAGTAGGTTTAACTGGTTTCAATGGTAACGTGACAAAAGTACTGGAATCTATAAACAAAGAGGAGGAAAATGCAAGAGATAATGCAGCTCCGGTGTTAAAAATATCTCCTCTAAGAGATATAACTGGTTATCAGATTTTTTTTGCTAGACAAGGATATGTCATGTCAAATGCTATTGGAAGATTTCATGGGATAAAATTTTCATTTGCTAGGGCTAATCAAAATATATTGTTTCGTCACCATGATTTTGCCTTATACAAATGCAGTTGGATTGACACAGGGAAAATAATCGAGGTGGGTAGTTCTTGTTTATAATTGTTTATAAACAGTAGGCACATATATGTTCTCTTGGAAATTGCCTTTGATGGCAGACACTATGCTAGCTATTTTATTGTTTGTGCCCTGGACCTGCCTCCTGTACTCACTCAGGGTTGTGGTAATTACATGAAAAATCTGGTTTCCCCAAGTAATTTAGTTGAAAAGGGTGTAATTTTTATGTATGGGACCCAACACTAAAGTCTGCAGCTCTTGAAGTTAAACAATTCGAGTTCCAGCATTGTGTCCTTAATTGTAGTTCCGGCTGATGCAACACATGTCTCTTCCATGGAGGCATCTAAGATGCTTGAATATGCCAGAAATCATATTGTTGCTTGTGCTTATTTTAGTTTATCATGTAGTTGCGTGGACATTTGGTTCGATACAGGACATGATTATCCGACTGATTCCAATGCACTTTTATGTAGTGAATTTGAAGAATTAAAACAGTATGATGGATTTCTATCACTTATCACCCATGCAGAGTTAGATTGTGAATGTGTCGAGGTTGTAACATCTCTTTCTTACATATTCGTACAACCATATGTAGCCTTAGTATCTATTACTCTTATTATGGTTGTATCTATTGCTCGATTTTTGGAACTGCTATACTTTTACTCATGCAGTAGTGAGTTTGTCGAGGATAACGCATTTCCCTTGATACATTAGAGTGGGACAAAATAGGAGGATCCACTTAATCTTATCTTGCCTTTTGGTCGTTTTCATGCATTTCTATTTTCTAAGTATCTAAAATATACAATGGAGACACTTGTTGCAGTTATTGTGAAAGTGAGTTTCATGTCCTATGGTCACCAACTTGATTATTATGATATGGTGACTAATCATTCGGCTCGATTTATGATTGTGATTCTAAGTGGAGCTCTCCTAAAGTTCATTGGTACATCTGTTGTTTGGGTTAGCCAAGCTATTCACCTGGAAGTGTTTGAATTTCCCACGAGAATCGCAAAGAAAGGGAGGAGACAGTTCCCTTTTGCTAAAGCTTGTGTTGCGGCTGAAGAGATACTTTTCGGTTTGCTTAAACATAAGGTTGATGAGATCATAACTTTGCTTGAACAGGTGAGTTGGTGTGATTGCTGGCATAAAATGCTCATTTTCCTTGAAACTGTGGCTATTTCTATACAACATATCTTGTCTGTTCAAGTTCTCAAAGGAGTTTTGCCAGATACTCTCTTTCACTTCTCTGAAAAAATGAGGCTTGGAAAAGGAATATTCAATCTAGAACATCTGTTACAATTTTGGGAGCAAGATATTAGAAGAGTACTTTCTTTGATACGTGAACTCATCTGTATATCCAACTCAAAGGGCGACATCATGGACACTCTGAGTATCTCTTCACGCACTAGTGTCGTTATGAAATATGGGGCTAGCGGTTTGTTTCTGGGACGCAAGTGGACCTCGAGCACTACGATATCAATATTGCTCTACTCGAACCTTGAGGACAAGGTTCTTTTTGAGGATGGGAGTATTGTTGTGAACCAGCCCGACTTAGTAAGGAATTATGGGCCAAAAGTGTGGAACGAGGTTGATCCAGTTGGGAC